GTGCCCGCTGTGAGCACAGCACTGTGCCAGACTTCTGGTCTGTTCTACAATCTTCCACTCTGCCCTCTTCCCCCTGTGGAGGTATAGGTGACTAAGGAGGGCTGTTGAGAATCCAGGAGACCAGATACACTCACGGCTGGAAATGATCTCAAAAGTCATGTAAGCTACTACTAGGGAGGCTGAGGCAGGAGGATTGCTTGAGCCCAGGAGTTCAAGACCAGCCTAGGCAATAAAGCAAGACCCTAAAATAAGACTCTAAAGTCTCCTAGGCCACAGCTTGGAAAAGGAATCTTTTTTTTTTTTTTTTTGGTTTTTTGTTGTTGTTGTTGTTGTTTTCTTTTTGTTGTTATTTTTATTTTTTTGTTGTTTTTTGTTTTTTTTTTAGAAAAGGAATCTTTTTGATAGAATCTAGCTAAGTGTTTACTAGTCTGTACTTGAATGTTTTTTTGTAACTGGGTACACATGACCTCCAAGAAGCCTTGCTGCCCACCCTTCCCTCAACACACACATACACACAAGTTTGAGTAGCTCTTAGATAGATCTTCCTTATTAATCCGAAATGGTTCTTGCAGCCTGGGTCCATTGGTCCTTGTCCTGCTTTCCAGTGTCACACAGCAACTCCAGCCTCTCTGAGGTCAGCATTTCTGTCTCTCCCCTGCCCATCCTCCACCAAGCTTGCTTTCTTCCACACTAAACAACTTCTGTTTCTTCAGTTGCTCCATCTGTGAAAACTCAGGCTACAACACTACTGGGATAGCCATGTGGCCATTTTTCTGGAGTGTGTCCCAGATAGAAACCCAGGGATGTAAAGTCGTGTTGACAGCTCATTCCCTTTGACAGAGGTGAAAGCCCTGGGGACCTGACTCTACACCACTGTTTTGTTTTGTTTTGTTTTGTTTTGTTTTAAATAAAGACAGGGTTTCACCATGTTGGTCAGGCTGGTCTTGAACTCCCGACCTCAGGTGACCTGCCCGCCTTGGCCTCCAAAGTGCTTGGATTACAGGCGTGAGCCACCACACCTGGCCTACACCACTGGTTTTTCTTATTATCCTGGAAATCTTGGCTAATCTCTGAGTTTCTGCCACAGAATAGAGGCAGTTTGCAAATTGTGTCCTCCTTAAATGTCTGAGTGTCAAAGATTGTGTCTAAGAGGAAGTCTTACACTTTCCCCAGCCTTACTTATTCTTCATATGCTCAGTGAACTGATGAAACCAACCAACAGATTTCACTTTGCAGGGACCCAGCTCTGCTAGCATCAAAGGATAAGTCTAAGTCTAACCAGCAGTGTGTAGACAAAGCTGCTCACCACACCCTTCCACCGTAGCCCATGTTCTACTACGCTAGCCCATTGTTCTGTGATCTTTATCCCATATTCTTCAGCCTTGATAGAGACTAGTCTGGGCTCCCTGTGGGAACAGTCAGGGCACTGATTTTCACACATAATTGGGAACTTGATATTTATATGAATGCCTCAGGATTTAGTGAGAAGAGATCCCCTGGGGTCAGTGACAGTGAAGCCTGGACAGTACTAAGGCTTACTGCTGGCTGAGGCACAGGTAGGAGAAAGTGGCACTTTGTCCTGTAGTCTAGGGATTGTGGGGTTGGCCTGGCAGGCGGGGAGTGGGCGTGGACAGGAAGCCCTGATAAGGGAATGTGGGCCTGTCTTTTGGGCAGCGGTTATTTCTGCTTTGCATCTTGGCCTATAGTTCCCTCTTCTCCTTCTCTTAGCAGGTGAACCAGGATGTGAGCCGGCAGCTGCTTCAGGATGGGTATCACCTGGATGAGATTCCAGATGACGAGGACTTAGACCTCATCCCCCCTAAGCCCATGGCTTCTTCAACGTGCTCCTGCTGCTGGTGCTGTCTTGGGGACTCTTCCTCCTGTACCCTCCAGTAGACATTACCCTCCAAAATGGGCCCTGTTCACCATGAGGCCTACAGAGCCCTGTTGGCCACTCAGCTCACAGAGTGCAGTGAGCACTGGGGTCACTGACCCCTAGAAAGTGACCTGCAGGTAGCCCTTACCTGTTGCTTCTCAGGCCAGAGGCCCCCATCTGGGCTGTGGGGTGATAGGTAGGATTCTGCAGATTTCCTCTGCTGCTGGAGCAGAGTTTGGAGAAGCCACTTTAATAAGGGCAGGACAGAGGAATTCTGGTTCTTGTGGTGGGTGACAAAGGTAACTAAGGAAAACAGTTGCAGACAGCTTGACTGGTATTTGTCATGGTGCTTCGGGGAGGCACAAAGAGCTCTTGTGCCAGGCTGGGCTAGGTAATGTTGTGTGGAGGCAGAAAATAGCACTTTATGGTTTATAGCTGGCAATCCAAAAAAGAGGTTAACTGTTTTGAGAGCAGTTCGAGAAATTCCATTTGCCCTGTTCTTCCTGGCTGTAAGACGGGTTGCAGGCGTGACCTTCAAGAGAGCATAAAGTGAGTCCTTTTGTCCCTCTTCAGGCTGCACCTGTCTATGACAGGGATAGCAAGTTGCCTAATGACACAGCATGATCCTGGCTTCCAGAATCCCTGGACCTGGGGCATCCCCAACTGGTCCAACTGTCTGGGTGAGTTTAGTGACTCTGGTTCGCCCTTCCCTAGTTAGAGAAAAGCTGCTTCAACATGTTCATATTTATTTATTTGTATTTCCTTGGTCTGGGCTTGTTTCTTTCCCAGTCTTGGAGCTAAAGATTGGGTGGAAGGTACTGGGGCTGGCCCCAGAAGATTGCAGTTTTTGTTAATACCAGCAGAGGGAGCTACAGGAGAGCAGTCCAGTGCCTTCCTATTTGTTTCGCTTTTTAAACTTTTGAAAAGTAGCAATGGGTGAGTGGGTATAGAGCAGTGTGGGCTTTGTCCTAGACTGAGGCTTACAGACAGGAATGGGAACAGAGACCTAGGCCAGCTCCTAGGCCCTTGGCTGAGATCAGTCGGTCAGCGTAAAGGGGCTCCTCCCTTCTGTCCGGTGTGGACCATTCCATTGCCAGATTCTTCTGGTCACAGCATGGGCCTCATTGGATACTCAGGATTGGGCTCTAAGCAGACCTCTGGGTGTAACACAGCCTCTTTCAGCCCCCAGCCCAAACACAGCAGAAATAGGCATAATTTCTGCTGTGGTACCCCCTGCTCCCATATTGGAGAGTGTCTCTTGCTACACAGTATACCAAGCCTCTTTCTAGAATTTTTTTCAATAGGTGTTTTTTGTTTCGTTTTTTGGCCTCACCCAGGACCATGGTGAGTGTTCTGCTTTGTTTTATTGGAGACAGGGTCTCTGTCACCCAGGCTGGAGTACAATGGTGCAGTTATAGCTCACTGCAGCCTCCACCTCTCAGGCCCAAGCAGTCCTCCCACATGGTGAGCTTTGAATGGGAATAGACAGGGTTCCCAGCCCAGTAGTCGGGATTGGGGTATAGGTTCCACATGGGAAAATATCCAGTCTCTTGCTTTACTCAGTGTTCTATGATCACTGGAGGCATATGAGAGACAGCACACTCTTTGCTCTACCACAAGGGGTGACTGGAAGATGAGAAAGTCTAATAAAAAGATACGGCGTTATTTGTTATTTGTCAGACAAGTGTCCTCACGATGGTAATCCTGTGAGTGCTTGATGGACATCTTTGTGTTTTTCTCAAACTGTGGAAGTTTGAGAGGAATATGCAGTATCTGGGGGCTGACTTACTCTCCTAGCTAGCAGCATCACGGCAGGAAGATAGGACAGAGACCAGAGCCATGCCAACTTGGGGTTGGGGGAGAGGAGGCAGATGGTTACTCTGTTCTGGAATGGGACTCTGCAACTCTACGCAGGTGGCTAATATTCTGAGCACTTTGTGCAGATGCCTGCGGGGAGCACGAACATCTCCATCCTGACCCCCTTCACCATCCACAGAGATGGGGGCCTTGTGTCTGCAGAGGTGAGGTGAAGTGCACATGTGGAAAGGGATCAAACATAGTACAGTGTAAAGACAGCGGTGTGGGTGGAAGGACCCAGCGCGTGCTGGGAGGTGGCTGTGGAAGCTAAGTATAGAGCCACGTCTCTGTCGGAGGTGGTCAGGGCAGAGTAGCCTGGGTGTTTAGCAGCTGCTGGGGTGAGGGTGGCAGGACCCCAAAACCAAGGCCCTCTGTTGTATCAACTCTGGCATATTCAGCTGCAACTGCCCTTGAAGAAGAGGTTTCTAAGCTGGGTCCCATGTAGGAGGGTGTTACCCTGTAGAAAAAGCTGAAGGGACCTGGTGGGACATTATGCAGTGAGGCATGGTAGAAACGGTCAGTTGTTTAGGGCCAGTAGCCACATACCAAAATACCACCAATGTGCCCAGGGCCAAACTGCCTTAATTCAGAGTGCTGGGTGTTCTGCAGGTGACAAGGGGTGTGTCCAGGCTCACCTCCCAGACACGAGTGGTACCATATGGTGTTTATGTACTACTCTACCGAATGCTTGGCTTGCACCTCTACAGCTCTGTACATTTATAAGAATAAATGCAATCACACTAGTTGAGCTGTGTCTATGTTGCATTAGGATTTTAAAGAAAGGTCTGGATATCCTGAAATGAAGAAATAGCTTTAGTCTACTACAGCAATTCCTTCTGGAAACTCCCTCCCCTTTCTGCTCTTCCCAGGGGGCACCACTTTCAGGCCTGTTTCATTGGACAGCATGAGTGAAATAGGCCCTTACAAGTCACTTCTCTAAAATGGGTTCCCTTTAGCAGACTTTTTCTAGCTCATCTTTTTTGTTTTTTTTTTGAGACAGAGTCTTGCTCTGTCGCCCAGGCTGGAGTGCAGTGGCATGATCTCAGCTCACTGCAGCCTCTGCCTCCTGGGTTCAAGCAATTCTCCTGCTTCAGGCTCCCAAGAAGTTGGGATTACAGGTGCATGCCACCACGTCCGGCTTATTTTTTTAGTGGAGATGCAGTTTCACCATGTTAGTCAGGCTGGTCTCGAACTCCTCACCTCGTGATCCACCTGCCTCAGCCTCCCAAAGTGCTGGGATTACAGGCATGAGCCACCGCGCATGGCCTCCAGCTCATCTTTATTGTTTTTAGCTGAAGAAAATTTGAAGGCAAAAAAAACACAGGAGATTTTTTGAAGGTGGTTTCCTGGAACTCTAGTGTGGGCAGAAGCCCAGAAAGATTCTTTTCTTTGAATTTAAACCTTTACCTCACAGGAAGGAGCCAGTGGATTAAGACTGATTAGTCTCGGATGACAGTATCTACGATTGCAGGTCAGAAACGTGAGCAGCGACAGACAGCCAACAGCCTCTCGCAGGTGTGTCCCACCCCTGGAGCAGGGCATTGGGAGAGATTCCCTCTTACGTATTTCGTGCCAGCTTAGGAAAGCTAACTGGGCTTCTTCTCACAATGAAAATTGGCTAGTTCAGTTCCTGAGTCCCTGTAATCTGCAACAGTTGAGTATGTTCTAGAGAAGGGGTTGACAATCAGTAGTTTGGGCTTTGCAGGCCATACGGTCTAGTGCAACTCTTCAACTTTGCCCCTGTGGCTTGAAAGCAGCCAGACAGTATATAAATGAACAGGTTTGGCCAGAACTGGCCTGCCAGCCTGGTTTGCTGACCCCTGCTCTAGGGCCAATTGAAAAACGGGAGCAAAGAATCTTGCACTGATGATTGGTGTATCCTTTGAGCCACCTTCTCTCTGTAGGGCTGAAGGACCCAAGGCCTGCTTGCAAGCTGTGCCTCTGAGGCTGAAGCTGGCTTCCTCTTCCACTCCTTCCCATACAAGTGTTCTGGAGTATAGTTGACCCACCCCCAGGAAACTGTGAAGTAGGAATAAAGCAAAAACTGGGGCATCATGCAAGGAGGGCACTTTGGCCCATTTTAGGAACAGGTACCCCAAAGGCTGAGTGCTCATTACCCCACAGCCTCAACACAAGTGACTTTTAATTGCTTTGACAGAACAAGAGGGTGTAAACAATGTTAGTCCACAGGACTGCCCTTTCCCTTCCCTCCTCTGCAGCTGAGGAAATGGGTAGTCCCAGGGTAAGAACACTGTTCTTGGAAATTACCTGACCTCTTGCTCTGACAGATGCTGAGCTAATGCTGGGTCACAGATTTTGCTGGCTAGCCTAGAGCCATAGGCTAGAGCAGAGTTGGCAAGAGCCTGGCTCAAGTGTAGTCAGGAGTCACTACCTTCAGGCTCCCTCCTCCACCCCAGCTCTTCCAGGGTGTACCTAAGGGGTCCAGAGCAAGAAAGGGGGCTTGAGCTGAGCCTGAGGAGGTGAGGCTGGCTGGAATTTAGGGTGACTGGCAGAGGAGAGCTAGGGAGGCTGTGGCCTCTACAGCAAACAGCAGGCACGGAATATCAGCAGATTCTTCGGCTCAGTAAGCTTCAGTGAGACGCTCTCATTGGCCCCAATGAAGAGCACGCTGCCACGCTGCAGAGGGATTGGCATCTGGGCTATTGGTGTGCTGGCTGTCACTGTTCCCTGTACCATCAGGAGGATGCTGGCAGAGTCCAGTGCCAAGACCTTGTATTCAGTGACGGAGCCAGGGACCTGGGCAGGGAGAAACAATAGCAGTGCAGCTTAGACTCTGCTCTCATCAGTTCATGTGCCCAGGACAGTCCCCAGGGCACAAGGGAGAGCTCTGCCATCTTCTCCCACAACCCAGGCTCAGCATGGAGTCCTGGTCCCTGGTACAGGGAGGAGGGGGCAGGCCCTGGGCCACCCCCCACCAAGTGGGCTTGACAGGAAACCCAACCCCAGGAGTCCTCCACATCATGACCCTTGCCAGATTTTCATGGCACACGAAGGACACCTGCCATGGCCCCTCACTCACCTCCATCTTCATAATGGTGAAGTCTGGCACAGGGGGGTCATAGATTGAGAGGTAGGGGTCTTCCTGACTCCGTGTTGGGCGAAAGAGCCTGTCCTTGCTGGAGCTAGGGGTATAGCTGAGCATTTCACACAGGGTTGGCACGTCAATGAACTTGGGTGTCAGGCCAGCACGCACTGTGTTGTCTGAACACGCCATGCACTCCACGCAGTCTGGAGAGACAGTTGTTATGTGCTAAGCTGGTGAAGTATGACTTGGCTCTCCAGCTCTGGGCCTCTTAACCTGAGCTTGAACCCCATGCCAAGTTAGGCAAAAGCTTCCATGAATTGTATTCTCTGGGATAATGGGGCTAAGATAATCAAATACCAAAAACAGGTGACAGGTCACCCATTATTGTCAGAGGGGAGTCATGTTAACCCCTGGAGGTTGGGGAGCCCCAACTCTCATCTCCAACTTCTAGCACAGCATCCTGTGCGTGAGGCATGTGTGGATAAGCAGCCAACAGCCAAAAGGTGGCATCCTTCTGTGGCAACATCCATATTGTAGTGTAAAAATCGCTGGATAGGTAGGACAGACAGGCAAAAGCTGTGAAATAGAACAGCTTTGATCCAGTATAGCCTGGGTTCAAAGCGTGGTTCCCACACTGGCTAGCAGGGCTTAAAATCAGAGTAGCATGACACAGGTTTGGTGGCAGGATTCAAGCCATGTTCAATGTGAAATGCATTCATCATCCCTACCAGCTGTCTCCTGCTGCGCCCAGGAACCCTCAGGTCAGCGCTGTGTGGTCCTTGGAGGTCTCCTTGACCACCCTTCCCCCTCTTTTGTCTAGATAGGGAAACAGGGCCTAGCAGGGATGGCAATGGGACTGACTGCTGAAATGAGGCTCACCTCCTTTCAGATAGGCATGGGGCACATTGGCCTCCAGAAACATGGCCTCCCCAGGCTTCAGGGTAAGCAGGTTCAGGAAGTAGATGGCAAAGCAGCCGATATCACCTGGGTACTGCTGGTGCAGCTGCATCAAAAGCTCCCCAGAGATGTCCTCCATGTTGTTTCCGGCAGCCACTGAGGGTCACAGAGCACCCCAAGGTCACTTAGGGGGATACTCAGTGCTGTTCATAGCCCCACCCTAGCCAGGGAGTCCTGGGAAAAGTTCCCTGCCCACAGGAATCCAGAAGCCAAAGTAGCCCTGTCCTTCTGGCCACACCTTCAGCCCTTTGGGGTCCAGCCTTGCTTGATACTCCACTTCATACAAATGCCATCTTAGGCCACTCCAGACAGCATGAAGCAGAATGAGCCAAGGGCCAAAATGTGCCCTGGAGATGATAGGGGAAAATGAGCTCAGCCTGGGTAGAGTGGCAAGGGCAGGCTTTTTAATTTTTTAATTTTTTTTTTAAGACAGTCCTGCTCTGTCTCCCAGGCTGGAGTAGAGTGGTGCCATCTAGACTTACTCTAACCTCCCCGTCCCAGGTTCAAGTGCTTCTCATGCCGCCTCAGCCTTCCGAGTAGTTTGGATTACAGGCACACGCCACCATGCCTGGCCAATTTTGTTTTTGTTTTTTAGATGGAGCCTTGCTGTATCACCCAGGCCAGAGTGCAGTGGCACAATCTCGGCTCACCGCAACTTCCGCCTCGCCTGGCTAATTTTTGTATTTTTAGTAGAGATGGGGTTTTACCATGTTGGCCAGGCTGGTCTCAAACTCCTGACCTCAAGTGACCCACCTGCCTCAGCCTCCCAAAAGTGCTGGGATTACAGGCATAAGCCACCACGCCCAGCCAGCTTCTTTAAAGTGAGGCAGGGGGTCTGGCATGGTGACTCATGCCTGTAGTCCTACCACTTTGGGAGGCGAAAGCAGGCAGATTGCCTGAGCTAAGAAGTTTGAGACAAGCCTGGGCAACATGGTGAAACCCCGTCTCTACTAAAATATAAAAAATTAGCTGGGCATGGTGGTGCATGCCTGTAATCCCGCTACTCAGGAGGCTGAGGCAGTAGAATTGCTTGAACCCAGGAGGCAGAGGTTGCAGTGAGCCAAGATCACGCCGCTGCACTCCAGCCTAGGACAACAGAGCAAGACCCTGTCTCAAAAAATGAAAGCACATACACACACACACACACACACACACACACACACACAGAGAGAGAGAGAGAGAACAGGAAAAAATATGCGTGGGTAAAATAAATGGTGCCCTAAGGCTCAAAGGTAGTAGGGAAAGAAGTTGAGACCTCATCACCTATGCCACATAAGCTCACTGCTGGGAGTCTGTTCTGCTTTGTGATTCTTACTGCTTGTGTTGACTCCCCACCTTTGGGGTGACATGACCACACCCATCACAGTCATTTCCTGAACTCTTCTTAGCACAAGGTCAGGCACACAGCAGGTAAAGGAAAGATCAAACGACTGAGCGCTGGAGGCATCAGGCCTTCCCAGGAGAGGGAGGATGCTCTTGTCCCCTTCCTGCCTCTTTAGCTCCCAGATACAAGTCCCTACATGGAGGGCAGCTGTGAGGCTGGGGAAAATCTCAGAATGCCTAGGTGGAAGGCATCCTAAGAGTCTTCTACGCTGGCCGGGTGCGGTGGCTCACGCCTGTAATCCCGGCACTTTGGGAGGCCAAGGTGGGCAGATCATGAGGTCAGGAGATCGAGACCATCCTGGCTAACATGGTGAAACCCTGTCTCTACTAATATATAAAAAATTGGCCAGCCATGGTGGTGTGAGCCTTTAGTCCCAGCTACTCAGGAGGCTGAGGCAGAACTGCTTGAACCCAGGAGGTGGAGGTTGCAGTGAGCCGAGATCGTGCCAGTGCACTCCAGTCTGGGCAACAGAGCGCGACTCTGTCTCAAAAAAAAAAAAAGTCTTCTACGCCAGTCTGCCTCCAGCCATCTGGAGAAGATGACTGATTGGGAAACAGCACTCAGCCAAGGGCCCTGCTCCACAAAGACTAGGAAAGCAATGCTAAGTTGCCAACAGGTCACCTAAGCTGGGCCCCTTCTAGTGTTCCACTTGGGCAGAGGAGTTGAGAACCCTGTCCCCAGAGTCTGGTATCTGCAGGGGAGCCCAGGCCAGAGTTCGGCACCCACCCAAGAATATAACCATGCCCACCTTGCTGCGAGATCCGCTTCACCAACAGGTTGAGCTGTTCCACCACCACCTTCTTCTCACTCTTCATCAGGTGGGAGAAACAGCTCTTCAGAGCAGAGGCCACAGCCTGGGAGTCACGGCTCATGCTCTGCTTCAGGTGTGTTGCTGCATCACCTCCAATCAGGACCTGGAACTCGGGTACCTCTGCAGGAAGGCCAGGCCCAGGGCCCATATCAGGAATGTTAAGATGGAACCCACACAAGTAGGGAGTTGGAAGAGGCGTTCCCATCCCAGCCCTAACCAAAGTGCCAGCAGTGATAAGCAAACTTTGCAGTGGAAACCAGTCACTCACCACCAGCCCTTGGCAACCACACCTGAGCCTGGTCTGGCCCACTGGCTCCAAAAACTGCTTCATGAGGCCCTTCAGTGCCTGTGACATGTGACCTCTGTTCTCCGCCAATGTTCCTACTATCATCTGGGTTCCCTAGGTATCCCTGGCCCAATACACATGCCCTCAGCATTCTGCCCAACTTACTCTTCAGAAAGGTTACAATCTCCTCAACAGGCCGGAAGCCACACAAGCCCTGGAAGGGGGTGAGGGCAATGGCCATCTCTGGCTTATGGTTGGCATCGGGGTAGTGCTGTGGAGCCTGGAGGTGTAGCTTCTCTGCCAGCTCCTGTGGGGTGGCCAGGGGAAGAGGAGGACGGTGAGGGTAACCATTAACTAGCAGGGACACCAGTGCTACCCAGCCCCTGCTCTCTACCCTCCTCAGTCGCAGGATGGCAGTGGTTGCCTACTTCTGGCAAGGAGCCCAGTCAAAGCATGATGCAGAAACTTGGAGTTCAGCCTACCCAGGGTAGGGAAATGGGCCAAATCCAGGGGACAGCTGGGGTGGATTCTAAGAGGCTTGGTCTGTGAATCAGGAAACCCAAACACCAGGCCAAGCTCTGACATGAACAAGCTGTGTGGCTTTCAGCAAATCCCTCCATTCTCTGGGTCTTACTTTGTGTATCTAGAAATAAGGCGTTTTGGCTGGGTGCAGAGGCTCACGCCTGTAATCCCAACACTTTGGGAGGCTGAGGCAGGCAGATCACTTGAGGAGTTTGACACCAGCCAGGCCAACATGGTGAAACCCCGTCTCTACTAAAGATACAAAAATTAGCCAGGCATGGTGGCACATGCCTGTAAATCACAGCTATTTGGGAAGCTGAGGCAGGAGAATTGCTTGAACCAGGAGGAGGAGGTAGCAGTGAGCCGAGATCACACCATTGCACTCCAGCCTGGGTGACAGAGTGAGACTCCATCTCAGAAAAAACAAAAAGGAGTTTGGATCCACAATTACTTAGGATAGGACTCAGGCTTGTGTAGGGAGACTCCATGGGGTGGAGCTGAGGGTACCTGCCCTGCCCTGCAAGTTGAACTCTTCCTGAAAGCAGATGAGTAAATGGCAGATACGAATAGACCTGGGCTAGGTGAGGGAAGACCAGGAACAAGCCCCTTGGAATGAGCTTAGAGAAACCCCTGGCACTGGCCACTCAGCTGTTTGCTTAGACTTAGTTGCTGCATGTGTCACCACCATCTGGCTTTGCAGAGCTAAACTGGGAGTTGTCAGCCTGGATTTGGCCTTGGGCAGGAGCCTGGCATGGGTGGGGTAAAAGCGGCAGTAAAAGTCATGGGAGGGCCTCAGCATAAGCCTTACTCTACCCTGACCTCTGCACCCTACTCTGTCCTTTACCTTGTTGGGGTGTGCCTGGATGGACAGGGCTGTTTCGACTGAGAGCACTTTGAAGAGGAAGGGCAGGTTGCCATTAAAGGTGTCCTTGACCTTTGAGCCCAAGCTGTCCTGGTTCTCAGCAATCCACTGTCCAAGGGTTTTCTGTGAGATGCGGTTGTCAAGGATCTTGGCATCCCCTCGGGGGTGAGTCCCCATCCACAACTGGAAAAACAGGAAATTTGGGAGTGGGGGGAAGAAATCTGGCACCCCGAGTTGGCCTGTCCCAAATGGTTATGCTGTGCTCCCCACAGGGCAACTGAGTCCTAGGAAAGGCCTCCCAGGTCTGAATACAAATGTTCATGCCATCATGGACATACAGGCAGCAGACCCAGGTCCTGTGAGGGGTTAACATACATCTTCCAGTTTCAGAAGCAGGGGTAAAAGCCTTCCTATGCTTTGGCTTTTTCTCCACTAAATAGGCAGGATAAATATTTTAGGTTAATAAAAATGCAAAAGAAAACAGTCGAAGTAAAAAAACTTAATTGTCAAAGATGGCGGAATTAAAATTCACTAAGTGCTGAGAGTGGCTGGGGGAGGAGAATGCTGGAAATCTCAGCCTATTATGATAAAACCTCTCTTCTTGTGGTACCACGATAGTCTATCAGCCTGAAGAGCCAAGTGGGCCTCCTCCCTCTTTGCTGCCTCACCCTTCCCAGCTGATTCTTACTTGTCTCAGGCCCTTTCTCCTGACCTGCGGGGAGAGTAGGCTGAAATAGGGCCCGAGGCTCACCTCTGCATAGGGCTTGTCCTCTGCGATCTGGGCCAGTGGGTCACTGCTGGCCAGCAGCCGCGCCACTTCGCTGTTAGAACCCATCTTCCCCCAGGCATACTGCTGCACCGCACAGGAAAGTGGGAATACTGGGGGTACAGACAGAGGGTCAGCTGCCGCTCCACTCCTCAGGCCCCACCTTAGTGTCCCGGGAAACCAGGCAAGAGCTGGGGGTGCTCACTTGGGAGAGTCAAATAACGGGTTTGTAGGCTGTTGGACGAGACCCACCTCCGCTGCAGGCCTCGATGTTCCCAGCTGTCAGATGGGCAGCAAGGACCTTGTGCTGACCTGAGGCCGGGTGGCGAGGAGGGAGTGGGCGGTACCCATCCCACGGCACCCAGTCTGGAAGGCCCCCTCCCCTCGGAGGTCAATCCCCATTGCAGGTGACCCCTCCTCTGCCTGGCACCCACCCATCTTTCCGCAGAGCCCCAGGAGTGGACTCAACCTGGCCGACTATCCCAGGATTCGTCCCCAGGACGCGCCTCACCCACCACACTTGCCGACACCACGGCCAATGGCTCACCTCGCGGAACGGCCATACTCGCCCCTTAACGCTTGGCTTAAGCTCGTAAGCCTTTCCCGGCAGACCCCGCGGCCCTCTGCTCCCAGAGCTTCATGGGAAATGTAGTTCCCAGAGCGTTCCGCTCGGCCCATGGGCACCCGGCCAGAGGCTTCCGGCCGCAATTTTCGGTCTCTGCATTCATTCATTCCTTCCGTCGCCGGACACAAAGGTATTGAAAACCAGCTAAGTACCACGCACAGTTCTAAAGGCTGGAGTATACATCAGAAAGCAAGATAGCCTTCCCTCTGCCTTTGTAGAGCGCTTACATTCTAGTGAAGGCAAGACCGACAAGTATTGTAAGCAAATCACGTAGTGTGTTGAAAGGTCAAGGCCACAAAAAGTAAGGGGGGGCAGGTAGAAGTGGGAGTCAGTTTACAGAATTTCAAAGGCTATCTGGGCAAGCCTTATTGAGGTGAGGTTTGGGCCCAGACTTGGCGGTGAGGAACGCAGGAGTGTTCTGTGGGGAAGGAAATAGCCACAGCGGGAGCCAGAGCAAGGCGGCAATATGGGACTGTGCTGGGCATGTTCGGGAGTGACCAGCAAGGAGGCCACTGTGGCTGGAGCAGAGTGAGCAAGAGAGGGGCAGTGAGGAAGTCCGAGAGGAGAGGCGAGGGCAGAGCTTTGCAGGCTATTGTGAGGACTGGGTTTTACTCAGTCTCTCAGCAGTTAGAGATTTGAGCAAAGAATTGCTGTGATGTGAGTAGGGACATACTAGTGATGATGGTAAATGTCACATGTAACGCCCTTCACTTCTCTGAGCTTTGTAGAATGGGGTGAATAATGCCAGCCTGATACGCTTGTTGGAGGGTCAGATGGGATGATGTGTGACATCTGTAAGGTAGTCAGTGCTCTGTGCTCCTCTGATCCTTCCTGTCCCAGGTGCTGCAGAAAGTCAGAACCCCAACTCCTCCTCCAGGCTGAGCTGCTTACAAGTTGCACACAGAAAAGTCAGGGGAGTTACCAAGAGCTATGCATAGGGAAGGATGGGGTTGGGCCTTGGCTCTGCAGTAATCTTGCTGTATCCTGTGGAGAAAGGCGTTGACATCCAGACCTCCCCAGTCAACAGCTTCCTAGGAGGAGGGCAGTCAGCTGGAGGGACTCAGGAGCACAGCAGTAAAAGCTCCAGGGAACCTGGAATGAGGGGTTACAGTTCCCGAGTCTACCCTCATCACCTTGGCAATACCCTGATTCCCACAGCCTCTACCTCATGTGCCCAGGGGAAAGAGGGGATGCTGTTTTCCCTGTAATGCTCTGCCCAGGTGTGGGTATTTACCTCACCTCCCCTGGGGTCCTCTGGCCCAGATAAATCAGCCTGCATTTCAAAGGAAGCTTTACCACACACTAAAGAATAATAAAATGGATAACACAAGACTCATGAAACAACGTAGCTCAATAACTTCTACTTTGGAATACCACTCCTTCCCCTCATCTCCACTCCCCAAGTGATATGGTTCAGCTCTGTGTCCCCACCCAAATCTCTTCTCGAATTGTAATCCCCACATGTCGAGGGAAGGACATGGTGGGAAGTGACTTGATCATGGGGGTGGTTCCCCACGCTGTTCTCATGATAGTGAGTTCTGACCTGAGCTGATGGTTTTATTTTATTTATTTATTTTCCTTTTTTTTTTTTTTTTAAGACAGTCTCGCTCTTATCCGCCAGGCTGGAGTGTAATGGCATGATCTCGGCTCACTGCAGCCTCTGCCTGGTTCAACCAATCCTCCTGCCTCAGCCTCCCAAATAGCTGAGATTACAGGCGCCCGCCACCATGCCCTGCTAATTTTTGTATTTTTAGTAGAGACAGGGTTTCACCGTGTTGGCCAGGCTGGTCTTGAACTCCTGACCTCAGGTAATCCGCCTGCTTCAGCCTCCCAAAGTGCTTGGATTACAGGCATGAGCCACCGAGCCCGGCCAGAGCTGATGGTTTTAAACTGTGGCACTTCCTCATTCTCACTGTCTCCTGCTGCCATCTAAGACGTGCCTTGCCTCCCCTTCACCTTCTGTCATGATTATAAGTTCCTGAGGCCTCCCCAGCCATGTAGAACTGTGAGTCAATTAAACCACCATTTTTTTTTTTTTTTTTTTTTAAGCGAAGCGTTCTTGTTCCATTGCCCAGACTGGAGTGTAGTGGCACGATCTCGGCTCACTGCAACCTCTGCCTCCTGGGTTTTAAAAAGCCTTGCTTGTAAGCCATTGTGGAGTTCCAGTCTTAAGTATTAGCTGCCTGATTCTCCTTGCTTGGCATCTGCAATAGTTGTCACACTTTCTTTTGCTGCAGGTCCCAGTGTCACTGTTTGGCCTTTTTTTTTCTTTGAAACAGAGTCTTCCTCTGTTGCTCAGGCTGGAGTGCAATGGCAATCACAGTTCATTGCAGCTTCTACTTCCAAGACTCAAGTGATCCTCTCACCTCAGCCTCTTGAGTAGTTGGGATTATAGGCGCATGCCACCACGCCCTGCTAACTTTTTTATTTTTTAGTTTAAGAGATTGGGTCTCTGCCGGGTGCAGTGGCTCACGCCTGAAATCCCAGCACTTTGGGAGGCCAAGGAAGTCAGGAGTTCGAGACCAGCCTGACCAACATGGTGAAACCCCATCTCTACTAAAAATACAAAAATTAGCCAGGCATGGTGGCACGTGCCTGTAATCCCAGCTACTCAGGAGGCTGAGGCAGGAGAAT